CAAGCAATGATAATCCCTAACATGTGTTCAGTGCTTTAGACTTATTCTAACAATCTTGGAAGAGACAGATAGACAAACCCAAACACTGGGTGTGAAGCTTCTGCAATCACTTTTCTCCTAACAGGAAGATTGTGGGGGCAGTTCTACTCCTAGGTGTACACCCGAGAGATACTCTTGCACATGTGTCTCAGAGACATGGATAAGAATAATCATAGCAGCCCTATCTATAATAACACAAAATTGGAAATAACCTAAGTGCCCATTGACAGGAGAAGGGATCATTGGATGTTAAATAACAGTGAAAATTACTGACCCCTGTTTTTATAATGTATTGCTGCATAACAAACCATCTTAAAACATAGTGCCAATCACAACCACTTATTTGCTCACAATTCTACAATTTAACAAAGGCTCATTGAGGATGGTTTGTCCCCACTTCATGTGGCTTCACCTGGGAGGCTCAACTGGGGCTGAAAGATCAACTTTCAAGATGGTCCCACTCACCGGCTGGGATGCAATAGTAGAAGTTGCTAGACCTTCTCAAAAGGTTACTTTTGTCCCAGGCTTTTGGCTAAAAGAGATACAAGCCAGACATACTCAAGGGTGGGTGGGGGTGGGCAACTATGAGAGAGTGTGAACACCAGAGGTATACTGCATTGGGTGCCGCAGACTTCCACAAACCACAACACCCGCAGCCACGTGGCTGAACCTTAGGTAGGCTATGCCACAGTAACAGATAACCTCCACACTTCAGTGACCTCACACACCGAGGGTTACTCCTTTCTCACATACATATCCCCCACAGATTGGTGGGGTGCTTTGCTCCACACAGTCACTCAGGAACCCAGGCTGATGGAGGCTCCTCAGGGCTGAGATGAAACCTCACTTTTGCCACACCATGGAGGACAGAAGGGCTGGAGAATTTCACCTGGTCTCAGCCCCGGAGAGACAATGTCACTCATGCTCACATTCCACTGGCTAGAACAAGTCACTGGAACCTGACTAGCCTGCAAGGCGGTGCTGGGAAATGTAGAGGAGCACATAGAAAACTGGGTGAGGATTACTCTTGGTCACATGTGGTAAAACAATGGAAAACAAAGGAAAGTTCAACATAAAATTGAAGAGCATGTTTACTTCGAGGGGAAGGAGGAGGCAGGATAGAAGAGAAATTCACAGGAAGGTGTTAGTGGTTTGTAAATACACCCAAGCCTAACCTCAGATTGTAGGCTAGAATGGGCACTGCTGTAAGTATCCTCAGAGATATAAAGGTGAATAAAATATGGGCTCACCAAGGAGGCCAGCCACGTGCAGTGGAGGGGATCGCTCGCCAGGGGCTCGGGAGCCAGAGGAGCTCTGAGAAGGCCTCCCCACAAAGGGTCATGTAAGCTGGGCAATGAAGGATCAACAGGAGTTCAACCAGTGGAGAAAGAAATGAAAGTGACATAGGTTGGTCAGGAACAGTCATTCCAGGAAGAGGGAATAATATGTGGGAGCCCTTCCTTCACTCCTCAGGTGGCCTGTATTCAGTGCATTTTCTCACCACCTTCTAGTCCCTAAAAGATCTGATCATCTCACTCACACTGTGCTGTGCCACCTGGAACCCTCTCCAGGACCCACACACTCATTCCCTCCACTGGCTGTTGGGAGTGTTGGCTGCTAATGCTTTCAGCTGAGTCCTTTTTTAGGAATCAGCCACAGATAAGGGAGCTCTCTGGCCCAGGGTCGTGCACCCCCTTCTCTAGGGGTAGCCACACCTAAATGACTGGTGGCTGCAGGGGTATAAAGGCCCTGCCCCCTTGCTTCAGGGAACTCTGCAGAGCCACCCTAGCTCCAAAGCTCCCTATGGGATCAGCTGAGGCCTCTCTCGGGCCTCCAGCCTCCCTCACAACTCAAGTTCTCTCTCAGCCCAGTCCTGCTTACTTTATACCCCCACAGATATTGATTGCGCATGCACTCCCCAAGAAACATCCTTCAAGCAAATCTCCACTTCAGAGTGTGTATTCTGGGAAACCTACCAAAGATACCACTAAAGTGCAAATGATTAGTCAGTTTCAATGGATACCTTCCTTGGAGGTGTTTGTATAGCAATAATAATACTAATATTCACAGAACGATTTCTATGTGCCAGGCACTATGCTAAGCACTTTGCCTATATGATCTTATTTAATAATGAACAGAATTCATGCCAAAGGAATGCATTTCTCATGGTGAAATTTCAGGCTTAGCCCTGCCAGGCGTGGCTTAGCGGTTGAGCATTGACCTAGGATCCAGGAGATCTCAGTTCGATTCCCAGTCAGGGCACATGCCCGGGTTGTAGTCTCGATCCCCAGTCTGGGGCGTACAGGAGGCAGCCGATCAATGACTCTCTCATCATTGATGTTTCTCTCTCTCTCTCCCTCTCCCTTCCTCTCTATCTGAACTCAATAAAGATATATTAAAAAAAAAAAAAAAAAGAAATTTTATGCTTAGACCAGGTGAAATTTCCAGCTTAGTGATGCTGGCGGGAAGTATTTGTATAGCACAAATTCCGTCACAAATTTCTCTGCTTCACTGTATGGTCAGTCCTGATTTTTGTACTGGCTGGGTAAAGCCTCCAGCAGGTCAGGGTGGGGGCTCCCGATCTCATTCTACCTTAACAACAACAGTAACAACAGCAACAACAACAACAAAGCAGGGCTTCTTCTGCTTAGGAACGTAATATCTGTGTCCTGCCCCTTCTCTGGGGTCTCGCTTCCTGGGAGCCAGTGTGGAGGTTGATTTCTCTGAAAGGTGGCTGCTGCCTGGGACTCCCCAGGCCTTTTCTGAGAAATGGTGCCACTGCTCCCAGTACTTCCTCTCTCTTCTTGGGAAGTTCCTGCAGCCACCACTGAGCCCTCCTCACATCCCCCTTTTCAGGCTTGGGCTTTCCACTTGTCCTTCCCACCATCACCTCCCTCCCAGTTGGGGACTGACCTGGACCTTTTTGTCTCCAGTTTGAGCCTCACTCCATCCCTAAGCCACCTGCTCTCTGGGAACATGCCCAGGCAGCAGGCTGTGGCCCTGCCTGGCTGTCTGGCCCTCAGGAGCATGTCCCAGCATGTTGTGACCTGGCACAGAAGAGGCTGATGGCTATTTTGTCCTTGGGGTTGCCTGCTTTGGGGGGAAAGGAAGGTGGTAGGAGACGGGAGAGCCCCAGAGACCCCAGGGAGACCTTGGTCTGAGTTTTGTGAACAGAATATGTGTTTTTCAGCATACCCCTTGGAATTGGCCTGAGATCTGTTGTGTACCCACACCTGTGTGTGTGTGTGTGTTTTGGGAGTCAGATCTCCTGTGTGATTTCTAGCAACTTGCTCCTTTGCCCTTTTCAGGGAAACAGTCCTCTAAGAACATGCCTGGCTATGCACTCAATTGTATGGTGGGAAACACTTAGTAGGTACCTTATAGATGTTTGTTGAATTCTGTTGTGGTGGTGAGCTAGAAGTTATAAAAAAAAAAAAGTCACTTCCCAACAACAGCAAAAAAGAATTATTTCATTGTGAAGCTCTATGCCACAAAACCGTAAGTAGTTCAATGCAAGCCTTCATTAACCCCCCCAAGTAAACAGCCACACAATGCCAAGTCTATCTGAGATGCCTGAGAGCCCAGGGGTCCAAGGCGGTTAGGAGGGTGCGCCTGTCTCCTGCTGGACTTTTCACAACCCATCTTCTGGGAGGTGCGGGCGTGTGTGTTGGGGAGCAAAGGGAGAAGGAGCTTTGCCTTCCCTGAGATCAGCTGTGCGAGAGGAACGAGGCTGGGCATGTCCGGGCAGACATTTCCAGACACTGAACAGCCCTGCATGGCAACAGCTGAAGCTGTTCTGAGCCCGGATTTTATTTTTTAGTGGGATTTCTGTTCAGACTTACACTGTTCTCTGCAATTTTTAAAAAACAAACTGCAAATGTTTTAGGTGAAGGAAGGGGCAAAGATGGGGTTCAAGGGGGGCTCTAGGGGTATGGAGGTTGGTGGGAACATATGGGCACCTCACTTGCTTCTGTGTCTGTCAGGAGCACCAGGGGACATTCCCAGAATTGTTCATCAGTGCCGCTTCCGTAACCTGTCTGGAAATGAGGGGTCCTGGGTGTTTCCCTCATTTTAGAGCCTCTGAAACAGAGCAGCAAGCAGACAGGTCTGGGACGGAGGCAAAACATCTGTGTTCCAACCGTGGTCGTTTATTTGCTGTGTGATCTGAGTAAGGTCACTGAACTTCTCTGAGCCTCAGTCTCCCCGGCAGTGGGCTGTGCGGAGCATCCAGGAGATAATTCATTCACCAAGTCCTTCTTCCCTTCCCAGCCATCCCGCTGCAATCAGAGGTTTCTTCTGTTGAGGTGAGAGAGTTGGGGTGGGCAGTGAGGAGGTGGGTGCAGGAGGTTTGTCTCCCCCTGGAGACAAGGATGCCCCTTTCTGAGAAGTGTCCCCAACTCCCTCCTTTCCTGAGGTGTTGCCAAGCAGCCACTCTGCATCCCTGTAGTTCTGTGGGCCTCATCTGTGAAATAAAAGGGGCTGAATGTGCTTCGGGCCTTCAAGGGGCTTTGCTGGGGTGTCCGGGTGCCCCTGATGCTTGGGGAGAGGTGGTCTAGCGGGGGATCGGTGGGGAAATGGAGGTACCATGTGGGGCTTTCCTGAGAATTGCAAAGTGAGGCGCTCTATTGTTATTTGTGGATTTTTATTTACTATTAATGTCACCCCTTTTCAGGGCCAGAAAGGGGGCTTAACAGTGCCATCCCTCCTGGGGAGCACCCACTCATTTCCCAGTCAAAAAAACCCTCACATTTGTGGCCCAGTTCGTGGGGGAAATGGTCAAGCGCACGACCCCGAGCGTGGGGTGCGGGGAGGAGGGAACCTCGGTCCCGCAGGACGCGAGGCAGGTTTCGCGGCTGCGGGGCGGTGTCTCGGGGGAGGCGGTCCCAGTGCCCGGAGCCGGGCCCCGCCTCCGCCTCCGCCCGCTGCTCTATAAAAGGGCCGGCGCGGGGCGGCGGCCGCGGAGGTGTGAGCGGCGCTGGCGGCGGTGGCTGGAGACCGGAGCCGGCCGCGGATTCGCGAGACAGAGACCGTCGGAGGTGAGGGAGCCGAGGCCAGGGAGGGCCGACCCGGGCTGGCGGCTGGGGACTGAGCCGAGCGTGTCCGCGTGGGTGTGAGTGGGCTGTGTCCAGAGGTGAATGACGTGCGTGGGTCAGCGCGCGGGGCTCGGTTTTGCTCCCGCGGGTGCCTGGAAGCGCGCCTGTGACCGGAGTCGGGATGTGCCGCGGAGATCGCGGGTGGGGAGAGGGACAGGGGTACGAGGGATCGGTGGCCACGCTC